TTTTGCTGGTGTTCCAGTTCCTTCTGCACGACCCCCACCCCCACCTCATCCCGGGAGGCAGAATGAGGCCCATATCCCTTTCCCATCCCTGGACGGGCCAGCGTCCCCCAGGAGCCAGGCGGGGTGGCAGGGTGCTGGAGGAGCCTTCCGACCCCCCACCTCCCACCTGGTGTATCTGGCCCATTTTACAGATGAGAAAACAAAGGCCCTAGACAGGGATCTCAGAGCTCAGACAGCAGGGAGCAGCGCCTGGTCTTGGAGCATCTAGTCTCGGGCTCTTGAAGATTCCGGTATTATTACGACCGACCCAGGGCCGGCTTCATGGGTGTGCGACCTGGGCCGTCCCACAGGCCCTGGGCTCAGCGGGCCTGAGGTTCCGTTTGTGCCCGGCCCCAGAAATTCTGTGGCTGGTTCTGCTAGGGCCTCTGCCCACTGTGTCTGGTCCATCAGCGACGCCAGGTCCGTTCTGTCTCCCAAATGTCTCTCAGATACGTCCACTTCTCTGCACCTCCACTGTGGCCACCTGGACCAGCTCTGTCCCCTCCTCCCTGCTCCCCCCTCACAGCCTGTCCTCCCCTCAGCTGACACCAGAGGGCGCCTGTGAACACCCAAGGCAGAGCCTGTCCCTCCTCTGCCCACAGCACTCCATGGCTCCCACCTTCTTGGGGGGAAAATGGCCCAAGTCCTCGTGGCAGCCCACCAGGCCCTGCACAACCTGCCCCATCCGCTCCCTGCCCTCCCCTCCTCCCTCTCTCCCCTCCTCACTCTGCTCCGGCCACACAGGCCTCCTGGCTATGCCTCCAACTCGCCAGGCACATCCTGCCCCAGGGCCTTTGCATGGGCTGTTCCCTCTCAGCTCTTGCCCTGAGAGAGTGACCTTCCAGCCTTCAGGAGTCCCTTCCTCTGAGAGGACTTCCTTGACTGCCCAGCTACCATCGTTGCCGAATTATTCTTTACCCAATTTCTCCATTTTATTTCTGCCATTGAAGTTTCTCTACCTGAAATTATTATAGCAGATAATTATTGTTGTGGTGAATAATAATATTAATAGCAAAGGACACTTCTGCAGACCATGGCTCTGCCAGGGGCCAGTCTCTGTTGCAACCACCTGTCTCTGCCGTCAGAGCACAAAAGCAGCCACAGACACTGCGTGAACAGATGACCCCGGCCGTGTGCCAATAAAACTTTATCGATGCACACTGAACTTCGTATCATTTTCACATGTCAGGAAGTATTATTTGGACTCCTTCCAATCATTTAAAAATACAACAACCGTAACCATAAAAAGTATCAGGAATGTAAAAACTCACTGGGCCATACGAAAGCAGGCGGGGCTGGCTTGAGTTGGCCCTCGGGGGCCGGAGTTTGAGACCCCTGCCGTGAGCACTTTGCAGTGAGTTCATTTGACCCTCACTTGGGTATAGCAGGCAGGGCCTCCCGTGGTCCACACTGTACAGATGGAGAAACCGAGGCACGAAGTGGCAAAGTCACTGGCCCAGAGTCACAGAGCGAGGCCTAGGAGGCCGGGCACTGGGTTGGGGGTGTCCGAGCCCCTCGGAGGGCTCAGCGATTTGGTGGCCTCGTCTCCCCAGGCCCCGGCGAGAGCGGGAAAAGCACGTTCATCAAGCAGATGCGCATCATCCACGGCGCGGGCTACTCGGAGGAGGACCGCAAGGGCTTCCGGCCCCTCGTCTACCAGAACATCTTCGTGTCCATGCGGGCCATGATCGAGGCCATGGACCGGCTCCAGATCCCCTTCAGCCGGCCGGAGAGCAAGGTGAGCCTCTGGGCCCGGGGCGCAGTCCCTGGGGACGCCAGGGCGGGGCCGTGTCTCCTCCATTGTCGGGGGGAGGGAGCCCCGAGTCTCGCCCCCCCTGCTGGGGCACGGGCAGCACATCACCTTTCTAAAACCAGGAAGCTTCCGATGTATCACGCCAGTCCACGGACGCCGGCGCTGGCGGTAGCAGCTGACACTTTGCAAACAGCACCTGGCATGTGGTGTGGGCTCGGGCGCGTCCTAGCGGGTGGCAGAACTATTTCACCCGCACGCTACCTCTTTCTAGTTCAGGCCATCGTCCCATTTCACAGAGGAGAAAACAGAGGGTCAGAGAGTTGGCACGATTTGCTCAAGACACACAAGCACAAGTAGAGGTGCAAAGGCAAGGCCTCAGTATCCAGCCCACCACGCTATACTGACTTTTTGAAAAAGATAACATTTTTAAAAAATTGAGATATCACACACACGTGCAGGAAAAGTCACAACGGACAAGTGCAGTGAATTGTCACAAGGCAAACGCACACTGGCAGGCACCACCAGGGGCAAGAAGCAGAACGTGTCCTCACAGGCCCCTTCCCCGAATTACTACCTGGCCACACACAAGGGTAACCGCTATATATCCACACAGATCGGTTGCCTGGTTTCAAACTTCTCATAAATAGAATCCTACGGAATGTTCTCCTATGTCTGGTTTCTCGTGCTCAACGCCGTGTTCGTCCATTTATCTGTTGGTCTATTTATCTACCCTCGAGTGAATGTCACCTCATGTGACGCTGGTAGGTTCTGAGTATAGTCTTGAAATTCACTAATGTAAATACCCCCCCTTTGTTCTCCAGGGTTG